GGCAAACACTAGTGCTATATAATGTAACTGTATGCAAATTTTTGGAGCAAACTGCTTATTGCAAACTGGGACCCCACCACAACTAATGCTGGAACCGAACATTGGTTTACGATTGGCATACATATATATTCCCTGTTCTTAATTTATGTGATGGCCAAATTATGTTTCAGAGTTGATCTGACGGGGCCAAAGACTACCTCCGAGTTGCAAGGAAATGTTTATAATTTATAGGCCTGACTTGTGACTGGTAATAGACCTAGTCATATTCTTCCTTTCTTTGTGCAAATGTAACCATGTACGAAATATCGTTTCCTGATTTCTTTGGGAATTTTTCCACAAAGTAAAAGCAGATATTTTCTTCTATTATATTGACCTTGATTCTTATGTTTGATTGTCATGGAGGACCGTTATGTTTAGGCCTATTCCAAATATAGTAACCTGCTCAGGGACAGCTCTACATTTCTTTTAGCGCAGGAAATTGGGTAAGATTAAGAATCAATTCTTTTATTGACATCACTAAACAAAATGGTATTACAGTCAATATACAATTAATGACAAAATGTGAAAACAAAAAGAGGAAACAGCAAAAATACAATCGAAAGAGAGAGACTCACAAGGGAGAGAGAATGAGAGAAAAGTTTGACCTAATCCCATTTCCTTTCGCAATTTGAACGCTTTACGTTTTATGAATCTTTACGGCTAGAATAACATAGTCAGTAAAATTCATAACATTGATAAAATTGATGTTGTAATCGTTATTAGATAAATTAATCGAATCATTTAAGTCATGAAGTAATTGAGCTCTAGGATGATCATAAAAATTTCATTTTAAGATAAAGTGCTCTTCATCCTCTACGTCTTGCAATGGCGGCAAAATCTTCCGGGGGCCATATGGTGAAATGTACCTACCATTCTAAATTTCAAGTGAGTGAGAGCTAATTCTTAATTTACTTACACATGACCTGACTGATTGATTGATTAAGCAGCAGCAGATATGGTTCAATTTTATAAGTAGCTTTTATATTACAATAAATTCTTAGCTTCAGCTGGTTATTAATGTTTTCTAACCATTGTTTAACGTATTCTTTTTTCATATTTTTGTTGGTTATTTTACCTTATGTTTCAGCGCTTTCAATCAGGTTATGTCTGTGTTGGTATCATGTAGGTCCGATAACTTAAGTAGTGATTCTATACGAGAGGACCAGGTAAATACGGTATTGGGGGATAAACAGGGTAAACGTCTATATCGCACAATGCTTTGACTGCAAGGGATGAAAACCTTTATAACATAAATTCTTAAGGTGCCACCAATACTTAGAAGCTTGTTTCAGCATATTAATTAGTACTGGGAAGCTACCAAGTTCCCAACGAACGGCGTTATATTTTGCCTCTTTGTTTATCCCCTAATACCGTTTTAGAAACTTTTATATTATGTGGTTTCTCCGGGTAATTTATCACATTAGGCCTAGCTTATGGAATTTATCTTTATTAATTTTTGATAAAGTGTATGGTGCCCAAATTTCACAGCCATATGATAATATTTGCACAATGAGTGTTTGAAATAACTTAATGGATGTATCACAATAACAATTGTATAGATTACTTCTGATTACTTAGATTCTGATTTTAAAAAATGCCTTAAGGGCTTTATCTTTCAACCTTCCCATAACTTTACTGTGGATCCAGAAGGTACAAAATTAATTCCTAAATAACAATACTCGGAGGCTGGCTCGATGTGATTTGAGCCAAGCATAAATTGGACATCGTCAATAACGATTCCACGCATTAAATACCATAATTTTTGTTTTGTCTATATTAACATAAGTTTCCATTTATTATAGTATTCGTTTAACTTACCATTTTGTAAACCATGAGAAGTCTCGTATAAGAGGACGAGATCATCCGCATGTAAAAGACAAGATGTATTTAAATTATCTAAATCAATTTGTTTATATTTGATTATTTTAAGACCTACGATACGATTTTCTCAATATACTTCTGAGTATGTGCAGAACTCGCCTAATGACAACAACATGCACCAAGGATGCAGTTAGGCGTGCATTGTGAGATCAGCGAGCTTCCTATTTTTGTACATTTACAAGTTGTTAACAGCACCCCTGTAAATACAGTAATTCGCCACTGCAATCTAGCCACAAATTGTTGTCCAGCATTCTTTTAGATGGAATGATTTCTCGGATTATCGATGTTCATGATGCTGATGCACCATTTTATCCAAGAATGTAAATAATAGGTAATTGAATAATAAATTTTAACCTATTACAAAGTTATTGTTAGTTTTTAATATTTGATTACTTTCCACATATAATTAGAATGGCTTCTACAGTAGAATTGCTTAGAACATTTTTAACAACCCAGCCTATTCGTGTGAGTAGTTTTTAAGGTGGTTTTATAGTTACGTCCTCAAATTGTAATCTTCATTGCTAAATAAATCCATTCCTTGTTGTACTAAACATATAAAAATAGCTTTTGTATTTTGTGGATGATGTATTATCTACTTTATTACTGAACTGTTTGTTATTTACTTCAGTCAGTCATAGAGAAAATAGAACTGTTCTATTTTTCTCTATGAGTTAGTGGCCATCCAATGTACCCATAAACAAGAAGAGAGAAAAAAAGATGCAAATACCAAGGCTATTCATATAAATTGACATTTATTGATAGCATGGATATGTTTTAGGCCACTGACCTCTTTGGCACAGGCTACGCAAATAATTATTTGCAGCTTACAAATAACTGTTGTAGAAAATTATGAAATTTCAACAAAACATTAACATGACAAATATTTCATACAACAATTACGTAATTTAACAAGACTGTTTGGTTAATATGCATTTTATGTTATATTTAAATTACCATAAGGATATATATATATATATATAATTATATATATATATATATATATATTAATAAATATTGATATATAAAGATTATTTGAATAAATAATAACCACCCAACATCCGTACATCCGGGTACCATTGTTCAGAATAACCAAACATAGTTAGAAATAGAAATCAAAAAAGAATTTAAAATGAGGGGAATTATACATTTTAACATTATAATTTAATTATTGAATATTATAGGAAAGCCCTATCTATGATTACTGAAAATGTTAATACTCATAATTGCACTTACTCCAATAACTACTTTCAATATTTGAATAACATAGTTGTTCAATTTCCTGTAAGGGGTGATTCACTAAAAGCTCCAATTGCAAAAGTTTCCCCTGTCCTAACCTGTAAAATCGTTTAGACAGTAACTGACTGTTCATTAACATTTTGTTTAACTTCATGTGTTTGTTCATTTTTTGTGTCCGTTCCTCTCTTTGAAGTTGCACTCTTCATTTTGGTCTGCTCCTCATTCATCTCCACTTCCCTCTATAACATGGGTTGGACATTTTTCTGAATCAATATTGCACATTCATATAATATACCTATAAAGCTGTGTTTATATTAAAAATTCAGTGGCAGATAAAGATTGGAAAAAAAACCCATTATATTCAAATTTTGAGAGTGTCATTTCCGACCATCTATCTAGAGGTGCCATAATCATAAATTAGCTTACCTCAGCCCCGACCATGGTTGGGCTGAGGTAGTTTAGCGCCCTCCATCTGTCAAAGTCCCTCCCCTGGGCCCCGGCCCTCTTTGTCGAATTTCTGGATCCACCAGTGATCTTAAATCCCTAATATTGCTGACAACCGCAGCAGTAGTTTCATGTCGACTCCTATTGCAACAAGTACATTTCATTCAGCCAGCATAGATTTATTCAGCCTTTCAATCAATTAAAAATACTGGAAAACCAAGGCCACGTTGAATATAGTTGCATAAATACTGCAGTTGCTGAATATACACAAAATTGTGTACTTGCTTGAATACAATACACACAATACAATATTTGAATATATTATGTTGGTTTTATTTTTACGTCCATAATTAATTTTTTAAGCGATAAATGTTTTCTCCCTCTGCGTTAACTATATTTAATAGTTCTGGATTGTGATCGAACATTTGACTGTGGTTCTCCAGCTGAGCTATTTAAGATGAGAATACTCCAGCGATGGCCAAGATTGCAATGATGACCGCAGCGATAGCGATGAGACAGAATAACAGAATTGTTACTCTTTTCCTCTGTTGTTTTAAAAGAAAAAATATAATAAGTATTAATTTGTATCAAAATTAATTACATACATATTTATGGTATTATCTATTGACCACAAAGTATACTGTTTATATTTTGTAATTTGTACAACAATTATTCAATATATCTACTGTATCGTAATGTAATTATTGATTACTGAAAAGCTTTTATATTTATTATTTCACAAACACACACACACACACACACACACACACATATATATATATATATATTATACACATCTAGATGTGTATAAGAGACAGCTGCAATCTAGCCACAAATTGTTGTCCAGCATTCTTTTAGATGGAATGATTTCTCGGATTATCGATGTTCATGATGCTGATGCACCATTTTATCCAAGAATGTAAATAATAGGTAATTGAATAATAAATTTTAACCTATTACAAAGTTATTGTTAGTTTTTAATATTTGATTACTTTCCACATATAATTAGAATGGCTTCTACAGTAGAATTGCTTAGAACATTAGTTCAAGTTTCAAATATTGAATCTAACTCTAACGTATGATTAACTTTAAATTATTAATAGCACCTTTTATTTACGGCAGTTTCCAATCACTAGAGGGCGCTAAACAAAATGTTAGATTTGTCAGGTTATGAGCAGTGTAGGCCTACAGTAGCAAAAAAATCTGTCATGATCATGGGTTTTCTCCAGCAACAGAGATAACTTCATTACAGGTCTCCCTCCAATTAAAGACCACCTTCAATTAAAGAATACTTTCTGTGGTCCGTTTAAATTCCTGCTTTTTACCATTAGCTGTTTCTCCAATTAAAGACTCCTTCAATTAGAGACCAAAGACCATGGTTTCGGCGGACCCAATGAACATTTTCCATTCAATTAAATACCACTATAAAATAGTGATGTTAATGCCATTTTTTCTATAATAAACATTTTGTTATAGGGCTTAAACATAAAAATATTAGCGATGTACATCATAAGATGATGTTTTGTATATATTTAGTGAGAATGTTAGTAATGGTGTAATATTTTTAATGGAAATTTGCTTAGAAAAAGTACAACTTACAAGAATTGATGTTCGGATTTCGCAGCTTTAGAGTAACTGCTCATCCATTCCAACTATTTAATGTATTAGGCCTATTTGTTAATTTCCCTCTAAAAGAAAATTTAGTGCCAGTATTTAATTATACGGATTCTGTTACACCAAAGATGAATGGTTTTTGGCAAACGAAACTGAAAATTTTCCCCTTTAAATAGACTACTTTTGAGTTATGAATAATAGCGATTTTAGTGAAGATGTGCATGCTCCGTATTGAATACCGATTGTGTTAGTAGGACATTTATGTTCGTATTTTTTTAATGGCTATTTGGGTAGAACGAGCACAGGACTTGATGTGTATCTACTAAGAAATGGTTTATTATCAGTAACAGCATACAGTAATCCATGCTGAACACTTGGAATCAAACATTAAACCATAAATCTATCATATGGTTTTGGCAGACCCAACTAAAAATTCCCCTTCAAATAAAGAATACATTACAATAAACAGTGACTTTACTGCAGTTATTTTTAAGTAATAAATGGTGAATATGAATATACACATTAAAATAATGCACAACATTAGATAATGTTTTCTGTACACAGTGCTCTATTGAATAGGCATACAGATAGTTTTCAGTAGCACGATGTTTTTAGTAATATTGTAATGGAGGTTTAGGCAGAACGAGTGCATGACTTGATGTGTGGCTACCAAGAAATGGTTTAATAAGAATCAATAACAGCATACAGTAACTGTAAATCCATTCTAAACACGTGGAATAAAACGATTTTACATTTACTAGAGGCTTATCATTTTCTAAAGTTACCTCTCTAAATAGTAATATTTAAGACCACTTTTAGAGGGATTCTAATTAGAGACCAAAGCTGCTAAAGACCACCACTTTAATTGGAAGGAGACTTGTACAGTATTTGATTTGTCGGTCTAGTAAAGATTTTAGTTTGCAACATAGTTGTAAGTCCTATAAAACTTATATTTATTGTAGTTATGGTATGTAGGAATAATAGTAATAATAATAATAATAATAATAATAATAATAATAATAATAATAATAATAATAATAATAATTTAAAGTTCTTAACAGTTCTAAAGTTAATAAAACAATGGTTGTCGTTGACTATCTGACCAATATCCAATTATTCATTATCCAATACCTGTCTCATGTATCAATGCTTTGAAATGGACCACCAGCTTAAAGTCATATGCCAGTATTTGGTATGTGGTACCGGTAGTTGACAAAGATATCCTGCTGACCTTTTTGAATCTTTATGACATTTTTATAGATACAGAAGAACCACTGTTCCCTGAAACAACCAAGTTCATTTAAAACACCAAATATTTTTTGTTGTATGTTATTAAAGGCCGTTTTCCACAAGGCGAATTATTGGTGCGAATCGAAAATTTTTACCCATACGCATGCGCAGTTGGAAATCTTGTGGTGAAAAAGTGTATAGGCGAAAATTTTCAAATCGTCTAGTGGAAAACGGCCTTAAAAACTGTAGTTCGTTTAACTTTGTTTATAACGAGTTTGAGTATGCCTTAATTTTTAAACAAACTTTTGATTGGAGGAAAGACACGAACCTGTTTGTAATCTATGTCAATTATTGGTGCACTGTCTCTGCTATCCAAATGGACACTCTATGATGTGGTGTGATATACAAGAGGAGGAAGAACAAGAGAAACGTGCAGGATTATGAAATGGATCTAGTATCTAAATAACATACAGTATAAATTCACAGACATTTTGTCTACCAAGCAATCAACCCATTCTACTAAGCCCCGCCCCTTGGATAATGTAGCTTAGGTCCCGCAAAACACGTGCATTTATGGGACACACGTGTTTTGTGAGACAAGCGCGTAATCTTAGCGATGTTCTGATTGGTCAGTTGTTAAGTTTGATTGACATTCCAGAAAGGTCCATTTTGCAATAAATTTTTCTTTATTTTTAAATATATGTCGATTTCATCATACTCACAATTTAATTAGCACTATACTTTTACGTTTTTTTAGTTCTGAGAACAACCTTGGTATTTTCAAGGGTTGAATTAAAGATTATGCGCTTCAGAAGCCATGAACATTAACCCCTCAGCACTCAAGTTGGGTTATGTTTTTCTTTCAATGTACCTTTCGGAAGTGTCAGTCGAAAGCAACAATTGACAAATCGGGCCGGCCATGAACATGTGTAAGTACACGAACCGGGAAAAATCCCTTACTCTTTTGCGAAGAGTGTCTGCCTTCTTTAACGTGCACATGGATCATAATGCACACGGGACCAACGGCTTAAACGTCTCATCTGAAAGACGGTTCGCTATCGTAACTTGCATTTCAACCCTCCAGCTGAAATACAGGAAAGCAGCGATGGGAATTGAACCGGGAATTGAACCGGCTCAGCACACACACAGTGGCACAAGTTTAGCCGAATGAGCTAAGCTGCTCTCTCTATTCCCATGATGACTTTGAAGGTAAATAGTCTGTCTCTAATTTTAAATTTGAATGGCCTGATTAGTTATTAGCTTTCGATTTAGAATTGAAAAAAAAATCCTTCACCACACACATAATCAAAGTAGGCTACCGTTTCAAATTTGCAGACCATTGGTTTTTAGTTGGTCTGGTTAGATAAGATTTATCCTAGTTAAGTTTGACTGTGAACTCTATATTTGAATATATGCTGCAAAGAGATAATGCAAATTAGCAAAAGATGTCAGAAAATCAATTAAAATGAATTGTGCCAATCAGCTCCTCATTACAAGTTGATTTGATCCCATAAAATTAGCAATTTAATTTTTATTGAGTTTTTTAATTTTCAATATAGATACCCTCGATCCCAAAAAGATTGTGTCAAATCTGAGTGGATCATCCCGTATGATGTGTGAAATATTAAAGATTTTGCAACCTTACATAAACGATAACAAATACGAATACGTCATCTTTATTTTCGTTATTAGTGCCTAAAACCTTCTTGACAACACGAGTTGAATCCGATCGTTGATTCATGTGAAAGGATATATATGCTAACTGTAGAAATATATTGACTTAAAATTTGAGGACGTAGCCGTATTCAATATTGTTTTTGTAAGCGTCAGGAGCCTCCATTGGCAACTGTGGGATCTAAACGTACTGAATGAGGGGATGAGAATGTGAAATGAAAGTACACAACAATGTTTCATAAGGATGAACTTAAAAATGTTTAAAATGTTTATAAACAAAACTTCTTTGCAAGAAGAATTTAGAAAACGCAAAATGAACAGAAATAATTAAATGTTTATAAATACAACTTCTACACAAACATTTAAAATGTTTATAAACAAAACTTCTTTACAAAAAGAATCCAGAAAAAGAAAAATAGTAAATAAAAAAATACGTCTAACCAAACCAAGCTTTAAATGACATGACACATTAGAGACGGATGAATGTCTTTTTGTTAGATAGGCATAACTATAATAGCTGTGCTTATCTTGCTAAATTTGCTGTTATTAATATTAGAGTATGAATATATTAAACATTTACAGAATTATAAATACCAATATGCCTTCAAATAAAAGAAAAAAGACACCCATTACTTAATATTTAACAAAGCATTGACCCATAAAGATAATTTACCGGGTAGCTGCATCCCGAAACATAGGGTTATCATAATCTTACGAGGTAATATGCAGACATGCGCACATATTAAAATATAAAGCTGCGATAGTGATCGTTATAATAATATAGAAATTTCCTCACCTATCACACAACAAAATTGAGCAAAAACTTACTAAACGTTACCCCACATAATTTCTACAGATATTTACCAGACCATGCAATACAAATTTAGGCCTAAAGCTCTGCCCTAGAATATCAAATTCTGTTTAACAAAAGCCTGTGACATGCTTAATTATCATGATGAAATCAAATCATCACCATACATAGGCACATGATGACTAAATATGGGCATACGTGTTTTTGTCAAAGAAAATTTTATATTCCGAACACAGCTTTAATATAAACAACAATGTTTTTAAATGTTTGATAATATACATACATTTACATCCATACTTTGCATTGAGAAAAAAAATGACAAACAATATGTTAAGAATCTTTTCAAATATTGAATTAAAAGACAGAATGAATTACATGAATAAAGTACAAGGGAGTAAAGACGATTTCTTGTACTAAACTTAAGGGGTAAAAAGCAGTGACGTAACTAAGAGTCTTGAAATGGGGGTCGAAGGTGGAGTGGGTAAGGGTCACTAGGTCGCAAAATAAGGTGATACGAGGTTTCGCTTCGGAATGGGACGGGAGCGGCTGGGGGAGAGCTTTGTTTGGGTAGGGGTGTGCGCGCCACTCCCTCCCCCAACTTTCCACGCAATATGTCATTGGTAATAAAGAAGTTCTTGGGATAGCATTTTGCACTTCACTTTTCAAGAGGTCCAGTAATGCTTAGGCTACCCAATGCAGAATTTTTATGCCGTTCATTTTGCTTATTTTTCCCCCCGCTTTCCCTTTTCTTTACCTTGAAATTTTGACGCATTAAAAAATGACTAGAAGGTATAAATAAAAGATAGATTTAAACAATAATACAGCTGTGACCAACCCATGAGCAAGTATATATATCTGCACAGTAATGAAAGGTGGTGTAGTGATGATGATGATTATGATGGTGATGATGATGATGATAATGATAATGGTAATGATGATGAGGATGAGGATGATGACGATGATGATAATGATGATGATGATATGATGATGATGATGAAGAAGATGATGATGATGATGACGATGATGATGATGAAGATGATGATATGATGATGATGATGATATGATGATGATGATATGATGACGATGATGATGACGATCATGATGATATGATGATGATGATGATGATGAAGATGATGATGATGATGATATGATGATGATGATGATGACGATGATGATGATGATGATATGATGATGATGATGATGATGATGATATGATGATGATATGATGATGATGATGGTGATGTTGATGCTAATGACGCTATGATGATTAATGATGATGATGATGATTATGATTATGGTGAGCATTATGGTGATGATGATGACGATGATGATGATTATTGTTATTATTATGGTGATGATGATGACGATGATGATAATTATTGTTATTATTATGGCGATAATGCTAATGCTAATGTTGATGATGCTAATGATAACAAATGATGATGATGATAACGACGATCATGATGATGAAGATGATGTTGATTATGATGAAGATGAGGATTATGGCGGTGATGCTGATGACGATGATTATCATTATAGTGATAATGCTAATACAATGATGTTGATGATGATTATATAGTGCTCATGTGATAACACCAATACTGTAGCCTCATATGACTTGTATAAATAATGTAAAACTACTTGTAAAATCCATCATGAAAATTGTATACAACATGATGCATATATTGAATTAATTATTTTGCAATTTAATCAACTGATATATCGAGAGTGCGTAGGCTTATTTTTGTAAATACTATTTATAACGTTTTCATGAATAATAAGGTATTAAACCCCAGGGTGACATGAGTGAACACTGTATCATACACCATATTATTATTCAATTAATAGCTCATATCATAGTGTTCATAAATGCAAAGAAAAAAAATATATTTTACCTGCTATTGTGGACTTGCTTATCCAATCTAATCCAAATACTTTATCTGAATATGTCTCTAAAACGTCTAAAACGGAGTACTTCAAATATCAGATACGTGTAGCAATACTCGTCTGGTTCCAGATCAACCAGGAGGCGTCTCTAGAAAGATTTCTATGAATTTCTAAACACAGAGAAATCGTTGCGTTTTTTAATACTGTGACTCAGAATAGATATTACTGGTACCATTATTATAATCAACGGTACAAATGCAGCCTGTTCCATTTTTCTTGCAGGTAATTGCATATTTTCTGTCGTTGATGTGTGAGCAATCGAACTGCTAATTAATAAATCAACCAACCAGCATTAATTATTCGACATCTGATTACAGATCAGTCTTCATTATAATTATTCTAAGACAATTTCTTTCGCATACCGTTCAAAGAATATTGACTGAATTTTCCCCATTTGCTGGATTTGTTTATCATAATATTGATTATGCATATTTTATTGATGTGTAGATTACTAGTGATGCATACTAACATATTAAAATTCATAATCCATCATTCATTTATAGCTGTGGATTAGAAAGTTCTTAAAGTATAATTATGCTCTTAGTGAATAGAAAAATAATATGGAAATTATATCTATAACACTTCATGTGCACACACACAAATGCAGAAACCCACATACAAAATATACACAATTTATGTTATTTGAATCTGTTAAACCATAAAGCCTCTGTGATCTAATGGTTATGACACTCGCCTTGATAGCGATAGGTAGCAGGTCCGAACCCCGTCAGAGGAATTTTATTACACATGTATTTATTTATTTATAGAACATTCGTTGAGAACTACACGATGTACCATCATGTCCTTTATTCGAACACCACATCTATGTCTTTGATTATATATGGTACTGAACCTGTCTCTTATACACATCTAGATGTGTATAAGAGACAGGCTTTCTTAACTTAAATGGCTTTGATGTGTAAGTTGCAAATGTTAATTTTTTATCCCATCTCTTGGATATTTCATGCTAACGCACTCTATTATGCAAATGAGCAATATGAAATCAATACTGATTACTTGGTTCGTGGGTAACATATGATCGGTGGGCGTGTCATTGTTTGTGTCCATCTGATGCGTATATTGATAGTCAATCCAGTCACGTTTGTTATTTTTTAACAATGTTTCTTTGTAATAGCTGAGGTATGGATGTAACACGTTGCTAAATAAGGTGGTTATCATAAACATGCATTAAAATTTACGGACAACCATAGCCATTGCCAGTATTTATTAATTAAACTTTATGATCTATACGATCATTGCAAACACAAAAGAGAGGGCATGCAATGTTAATTATTGTGACTCTTTATACTGATACAAGAAATGTTGTTTTCATCACAAAGTGGCACGTTTAAATATTATTTATTAATTTAGTATCATTATCTGTTTTTTATATTGATTATAATTTTGAAAGTTGATGACAATGATGATGATGACGACGATGATGACAATATCAATAATAATAATTATAATAAAAATAGTAATAATGATAAAGATAATAATTACAATAACAATAATAATATAGTGAAAATTAATTAAATGAAAAGAAGTAATTTATTGACGAATTATTAATATATTTATTCAAAAATTATAAACAATATTTTTACCTTACTACTGTAGGCTGATTGGTTTATAGAGTATAAACAATACGATTCGTTGATGGAACATTGCCATTATCAAAGATAACTGCAATCAATTAAACAAAATCTCTCTCTTTCAATAAATCAATAATTACCTGAGGCATATGACATATGGCTCTTCCCGTTTCATTTTTATTTAATAAATTTATAGATTTATTGCTATATTTAAATACAATAATTTCATCACTTAATAACTGACGTTTTGGGTAAGCATAAAAAGGGGTATGAGGGCCGAAGTCAATTATGATTAATCAATGTTTCAGTGTGCTTTCAAAACCATTTATGCACAATACAGCTTTTATACAGCTTTTTGCTCGGTCTTAATACTACGTTTTACTGATGACTCGCATCGGGCCGTAAAAACAAGGGGTTTTGGAGCCGCATTCATATCAAGTTTTTGTTGTTCACACACAATAAAATTACCGTCGGTCCGCAAGACTATACCATTTGTGTTTATGCCAAAACTTACATTATAGTACCAAACGATGAAGAAAATACCGATTATGTTTGTATTACCTTGTTCAACATAATATTCATAACATTAAATATACTGTGAATTACCAGAATTAAGCCTAATATATTAATTAGATGTACTATCAGTCGATCGTGAGGTAAAAAATGAAAATGTTAATACCAAATTTGATTTTCTTATTTAGTATAGGCTTATTTAAGTAAGTTATTAACTTAAAATTAAAAATGTTAAAAAAAAATCCCCGTCAATTTGCGGACAGTTAAATAATAACGTTCATGTGCTTTGCATAGATCCTTATTGGATGGTAATCAATTTAAGGATTTTGGAGTAAAATGTCTGTAAATCGGTGAAAAATACTTTTTTTTTTCAGTTTCTCGTTGGAAGCTAATAATTTGTTTGATCCTTTCAAAAGAGCTATTCTAAATTGTATTTGAATATTTCATGTAATTTTTTGTCGTAATGAATGAATGACATTTTAAATTACACCTATACATGTTTCTCCTGACGAAAATCCAGTTATTGTATATTATTCCATCACGACAATAACAATTACTATCAACACTGCAGTACCCGCTGCTTACTTAGACTCGAATTTAACCCTGGGAATCAGGCGCAAGCTCGGTGGTCTAGAGGTATGATGCCAGGCTAGTGATCTGGAGATCGTGGGTTCGAGTCCCACCTGCGAACAACTTGCGATTTTTTTCGCATTTGTTTTCAAATGTACTGAGTATTCGGTACATTTCCACGTCAGGAGGGCAAATTACACCTATATATGTTCCTCCTGACGCAAATCTAGTTATTGTCTATTATTCCATCACGACAATAACAATTACTATATTTAAGCTTAAAACTAAGCTTTTACTGGCCATGAGGCATTTGCAAATATGGACGCTTTTCAGAGAAATGTTTTAACTTTGTGTGGAATTTACAATGTGTGGTGTCAGGAATTGCAAAGGCGTCGATAGTGTTGAGGGGGCTCACGTGAACTGACCAAAGTCCACACCGGTTCATATTTACAAATGGAACTAACAAGCTTACTAGACTTCTTATTTTTCTTAATAATAGAAATCGAAATGGTACTGAACTGGTCTACTATGTGATATAATTATTAATATTAAATCCAAGACATCTGTTCAACTCTTTTATAAAAATGAATTCTAGGCCGAGACATTTCACAAGGGACCGGTTAGGATCATTACAAAGGGTATGTATACATAGGTACGGCAACGGTAGTTCAGCTTAATGCATAACTATAGAATCGAACTTATTGTTATCTGCTCATAAACATGAATGTGTTTGTATTTTAATGGTAAACGAGGGAAAGACACATCAACCTGCCCTCACATTTTGCGACGTAATTTTACGTTTCGAGTCCCTGTCTTGTGTTCTCGTCTATATTTTCTTATTGATCTCATTTTGTTAATGTATTAGCACAGATGAAATTACAACCAATTTAAACATGACTTTTGATGTATTTTAATATTACACGCACCTGTACCTGCGTATTCCATAAGGGGAATGGGTAAAATCAATCCGATTTCAGAAACTAGGCTGAACATACCGAGTATGACACGTACGATATCGCATAGATGTTGAAATCCTATCAATAATACTCTGGACTGGTTAAGTGAGTCAATGGCCGTATTCGACTGGTCGTTCTTCGTTAAACCACGCCCACCTACGCAGTGGTAAAATCCTGACCAGTCGAATAGAAAACTGGTAAATACTTGAGACAAAACAAAATGGCTGCATAGTTACCGCGACACACGCTGCGTAATCAAGGCTGCGTCAGATTGTAAAAAAATGATTTCATCCAGTTTTTTAAATTCTGTTAGCCTACAATTATCTTTTGACTTCATTGTGGGTAAATATTATAAATTTTATTTTCTGAAATTTAATCTAAATTACATTAACGCAATTGTTGTTGCCAAACTGACCAATCGGCCATATTTTTTTGGTCACGTGCATAATTTAACGCTGATAAACGCATTCTGGTTACGTTAATTTTCGTTGTCAATGAAGTTTATTTTACGAACCAGTCGAATGAAAATAATACTCAACGAAAATTCGAATAACTTGTCCTATATCTGTCCTGAATACAGTATAACCGTCATTTTACACTAAGTCAATAGTACTAAGGGTTATAAAATCTAGAATCATGACAATCTTAATAATATAATGATGTTAATGACGATGATGTTGATGATAACGACGATGATGATGGTGTTGATGCTGCTGCTGCTGATAATGATGATGATGTTGATGCTGCTGATGATGAACATAATGATGATGATGATTTTTATAATAATAATAATGCTTCTTAGTATTAATAATAATTACTATTATTATTATTACTATTATTATTGTTATTGTTGTTGTTGTTATTATTAATATTATTATTATTATTATTATTATTATTTATTATTATTATTATTATTATTATTATTATTATTATTATTATTATTATATATATATTTTCCTGTACGCAGCTTGCCAATATTGAAGATGGGACCTACACAGTATATTTGAGCAGTGGTGGAATCTTGGAGGAATTCTTTGAAAAGGTTACAATCTCACTGATGATGCATGCGATTCAATCATTCTTACCATTAGAGAGTATAATCATTACTATTTTTACTATTATTGTATAATCATTATTACTGTTTTATCATCATCATCATCATCATCATCATTATCTTCATCATCAGCCTTTTTAATATTAACATTTATAACAAATCTCAAATCACCTTACCTTTGTACTGATTTGCTTGTTGCCCATTTTAATATAACTGATTCTCCTACTTTTTTAGTTTTATTGTCGTATAAACGATTTTGTAGCCAATTTTTAGCAGTTTAAAAATACGTTACTTGATGTGATATAGCTTTCTTTATTGATTTTACCTATTTTATTTATATAATTTGTACTTTATTATTCAGTTTTGCATTTGAATGTTCTTGGGCAAAGAGAGCCCCTCGATGACAAGTCTTCTTGCATTTGAGCAATCCTCATGCTACATAACTCCTTTTGTTTTTATACTAGCAAAATACTTTATAATGATATGATATATTATCAATATAATAGGTTATTATTATCATCATCACCATCATCATCATCATCATTATTACGATTACAAGTTAATATGCTCGTTATCACAGGTCGCCGAAATACAATGTAAAATTGATGTGATTGCCGATTTGGCTGACGAGGTGGAAAGCAACTACAGTAAAATAGAATTATCTTCAAAACATAGAAAAGGTTAGTTCAGAAGTTATGTCCATATATGGGCGTGGTATGACATTATCGTTCCTAAGATACGAACAAATCCACACATTTGTCACATAATACTTGTGTGAGCAGAGTTTAAATAGCATTATTCAGGTAAATATTAATTTTTAGTAGTTTTGTTACTCCTGATTGTTAGGTTTATATGGGTATCAGATATAGGCCCTATCAGTATCTTACGAAAAACTTTTGTTATACCTTGTTTCTATAGATTATTTCATCTTTTTTATTTCTTCTGCTTCTTTTTATTATTTTCCGTTTCCTTATATTATTTGCACATGGTTATTCTACCCTCAACTTTTGTCAATTTCCTTGATTGGATCTTTAAATTCGGTGCAATAAAAGCCTATTATTATAATATAAAAGCTAAGCCTATTTCTAGAAAAATGAAGTCATCAGCATATTTTAAATATCAATGAATAGTTATCATCACTGGTCCATGGATTCTCAATTGGCAAACCGGTAAATTGCAACTTCAAGCTAGCTCTGAAGTCCACATCAATTTAAATTAACAGAAACACTCTTGACTTTTAAGTCCGTGACCAGTGGAGGGGGGTTTATTATGGCTTATAAACAAAAACCCATCTCTCATTCCCTTACATTAAAAGGCATTAAAATGAAGTTATCACGTTTGATTTTGGCATTAAGATTCAGAGCAACATGTGTGTGTGTATTGTATATACATTATCATGTTCTTTATTCGAACACTGTATTTACCTTTCTTTGATGATTTATATATGTATATATATAATATATATATAATATATATATATATATATACTGTATATTATTTTTTATTTATGTATTGCAACAAAACATGTGTTAGAATGTCATATCACGTTTGATTTTGGCATTAAGATTTAGAGGAACAAGTAAAAGAACAAGCTGATCTTATAAAACGACATTCGAGGGAAACCAATGTCTTATTAAAAGGTAAAAATAATTCATTGCAAAATTGTTCACCACAATAGCTGTAATTAAATCAGAATTTTTACCATTACCACCATCGTTGTCGTGTCGTCTTCATCACCACTACTACTACCACCACCACCACCAACATCATCATCATCACTTCTGCCTAAGTACTCTCATTTCTATAATAGGCCGCCACAACAATTATCATCATCGCCGTCATCATTGTTGTCATTATTATTATAGATAGTTTGTTACTATATTTACTATGTTAATATATAAAGTTGTATTTGTGTTATATGACAACGAATATTGATGTTGGCCTATATAGGTCATATAAGCCTTGGTCTTGACATTGTCCTTGCTGAATTGTGGTCTTGAATGAGATGGAAACATATAGAATGTTTGTTACATCCTGCTCGGCATGAGGGCGTGTCTTGGAGAAGTTTCCATAAAATTGCTGCACGCTTTCGCCGATAGCGGTGACACTAATTGGTCGGTGAGCGTTGGGGACAGTTACAAAGTGTAACGCCTGTAGTGAAAAAAAATGTAGCGACACAACAATGTAGCAATTTTATGGACACAACTTTAACTGTTTAAAACTTTCAGAAACACGACTGAATACCGAATGAAACAAATGCAGGTGAATAATTAAAATTACATAAAAGATTAAAGGTCTATTACCATTTGTGTAAGGGATTGTCACCTACAAGTAGGACAGTGATATATTCGCTATTGACAATCCTTGGCACATGTATTGTGTGCCTAAATAAATAAATAAAAAAGTAAAAATAATAAATAAATTTATGTACCGGTACAAAATTTAACCGTTTAAATTTATGTTACCAGATGCGGGCTTCGTGAGGGCAAGGCAAACAATTCTGTAGATTAATTTGTTATCAAGTTTTGTTTGTTAATAGGTATTGAAGCAGAAATCGGCCCAACAGATGCAACTTTCAGAAACACGACTGAATACCGAATGAAACAAATGCAGGTGAATAATTAAAATTACATAAAAGATTAAAGGTCTGTTACCATTTGCGTACGCATAACATTAAAGGCCCAAGACGCAGGAAGTCTACGATACAAGCGCTTATGTTTTCATTAACCACCGCGCGGGTGGAAAGTGCACGCTGTGTGGTCCAAACTCTGCCCAATTTTTGAGCTATTGCAGTGCACGCATCATTTTTACCCAATTCTTGGACGATTGCATATGATTCATAACCCAACCGATGGTCAACTTGAGGTAATAACCATTAAATGGGTATATTTCTCCCAACGTATAAGACAAGCGTTTATGCCAATGTTGGTCACATTGATTATTTGCCCAACTACTATTTTTATCCATATATTGGGTGATAATTTACCAATAAAACGATGATCTCATTTTACTCAATTTTTCCCAGCATTTTTTACAGTGTGCGCGCGACGCATGATGCGTGTATATTAACAGGCTGCCAGCACATCAACTATTTACAATTTTACTGGGCATTGTAACTTTAGGCCTACTATAATAAACTGTTAATAATGTGCACACAAAGTCACATTCACACATGGAAAGTGGTTGGGTGTAGGCCTAATGTCTGGAATGTACGGTTCAAGTAAGCTGTGTTTGATTGTTAATCAAGTCATGGTTATTATTTATTCTTGCAGTACAGATACCTGTCGTGGCACTTCAGCGAAACAATTACGACATTTAAAAACTCACAAATTAGGCAAAAAGAAAAATTCAAGGGAAAGCTCAAAAGAGAAATAGAAATAAGTAAGTATAATATAGACCTACACACATTTAATCCCAGTGGCGGCGAACAGTGGGGTGGGGGGAGGGGATACAGCCTCACCGCCCGTCAGGGAGGCCCGCCGGTAGAGCAGAAAAACTACCATTTGTCGGGGAGAAATAAATATATATATTTTCTACATATTAATAGACTCTAAAATCGATTAAACAAGCCTTCGCAACCCATAAATTGTCATATTTTTTGGGGTTTCTCCCTATGGACCACTTTACAAAGATTTTGAGCGAAGCCCGACCACGCCCACTTAGTTCTCCTCGGGTTCATAACCCCTACCCCATTTCGGGCATCTTGGAAACCCCCGTCAGTAAAATCCTTGCGCCGCTCCTGTTTAACCCTATATACCATGATTGAATAAGTCCCTCACCCTCCACACCTTCATGGCCGAATGAACACATAACGGCGCTTAAGATAGAGGTATTCTATTGTGAATAATAAGCATCGACGGGCTTATGTAGCATACGTTACCGTACATTAAAAAGTGCGTAACTACGTCATAATTTTACCTTAAATTTATTTTTCATATACCCGAGAGAAAATAGTTAAATATGCCTAGGGACAGTGAGCGTCGCTACGAGACAGTGACCGTTGCTACAATTATTATTGCCCGTTACTACGTGATATTGACTGTTGCTAAGCATAAATTGATGTATAGATACTACCATGCTGATACTGTATATTGTTTAATTTAATTTTTATAATTTAAATGATTTTGATGAATTTGCATTTTTTGCTGCTGCACATGATTTTGATATTCTCCCTGTTAAGTTTGTTTGTGCATGAGTATGAGTATGAGCTAAACATACGGATATATTTTCGTTATACTGTCTTTTTCTCTAACTTCAGCTGAACAAAACTTTTCCGATGACCAAATGGAAGAAATGATAGAAAATGGTAACATTTCAACGTTCGCATTTAATGTAAGTTGAAACACAAAATACCAGTCGCATCATTTACTTTTCTTAATGATCAAAACTCTTAAATGAACGCAAACAAATTATTTTATTTAACGTAGATAATAGGTGATACGACGAAGGCTAAGCAGGATTTAGAACTAATTGTTGGACGTCATAATCTTATTTTGAAAATTGAACAGAGCATTACTGAAATACATGATATGTTCATGGACTTTGCGTTACTTGTTGAAAGTCAGGTAAGTTCGATTTTTATTTCAATTTATTTTGGCAATACCCAAGCGGCCAAAGTCGCTTATAACACGAACGTGATTGTGGATACAAATGCAGCGCCTGGGAGAAAATTCAATTTCGATAAGGGGCCCTAAATAGGCATAAATGTCGTGTTATAATATTTATACATGCAGTATAATGCAATGATATCAATACAGAAATCTTTAAAAAAAATCTCAATAAAAAAAAGGGGAAAAAAAGACAAGGTTTGCTTTTTTAGCCAAAAATGAAAATTTACAAAAATAATGCACGTAATTTCAGACTATAAATACACCAAGAGGGATCAGGACAGCACATAGAATTATACCTACAAAGGCAAGGAATAAAGCCATTAACCCTTCGAAAATCGAAAAAATGACAAAATTTCGCTCAAAAATTTAATTCAGAGATTCATAAAATTAAATCAGATAAATTTCGTCTGCAAGTGAAAGTAATTCAGGATCCAGAGTATAGTTTATAAATGTATCATTGTATAATGTATTGTATATATATATATGATAGGCTTACTTCAAAAACTTTGATTTACTAATCGTTTGTAGGGAGTTATGGTGGATAATATTGAACGCAATGTTGTGGAAACGCAAGAATTCGTCATATCGGGCGGTAAGCATCTAAAGAACGCACACAGATACAGAGATAAAGTACGACGGGTAAGATTTTCTAGTTTAATATTATGGCCTAAATAAATCATGTTTTAACTTGGCAACCAGTGGTGAAACGAAAAACAAGCGTCCCCTGGCTAAAGCTTCTTCGGGCCCATGCAGTCCTGCATCCAACGGTGCGATGGGTGCGTAAGCCCCAAAATCGGAAAAGGTTTATATTATTTAAGACAGTCGAGAATGTTCTGAATAGGCCTATACATTTTATTATTTTCTAATCTAATGTCAGGTCAGTATTTATTGGGTTTATGCAACATTAAAATTCATCTTTTATACATTACCATAATATTGTTGACACAAGTTTACCTTTTCTTCAACAGAAAAAAATCTACTGCATTGGTTGTTGTTTAATTTTGCTCATCGTCGTGGCAATAATTCTGCTGATAAAATACGTACTTATTACATAAATGTAATTACTTGAAGGTGATTTTTATAATATAAACTGGCTTTACTGAACCAAATAATGACACAGGGAATAGCTTTTGTGTAGTCGCATGTAGTGACGTTGAGACGTTATTGTGATATTCTAGAAGTTAGTTTCAAAACAACAATGTTTACGTCATTCGACGTAAAAAGGATTGGATTATTTTACAAAACGTATCTATTAGGAAGTAGTTGTTAAACGAATCGTTGATTTTGATTGGATGTTATTGTCCTAATCCAGTCCATACACACAATAACATCCAATTAGGAATAGTGCAACAACTGCCACTACTGTTAGGCCTACCTATTTAAAGGCTGACAACAATAAAATTGATGCAACTCCTGAATTAAATTGGTTTTGTATCGCTAGGCCCGTGCAAATGTTAGGCCTTATTGTACAATGACTTCATTAAAAAATATTTCTGACGAATTGATTAAACTCAGAGTTTGCAAACGTGATGTTATAATTTATTTATTATTAGAAAACATATCTTGACCACAATGACTGATTTCTGAACCGTGCATTTTTCATGAATTAATAACAAACAATATACAGTGTTTACAATTTGAAGACGTTATAAACTATGCATACACATCGAAATTCTATAATTGTAATGTTTAATTACTGAATCGCATTACCTTCAGCCCTGTTGCGAGATGTTACAATCTTCTAAGACACCAGAATTAATCCCGTTTTGTTAAGCTAAAAACTATAAAAATCAAATTCAATATTTGAACTGCTTATAGTACTTGAAGAAGTTATCTTTCATTAGACGAAAAGAGATATTCTCGCCAACTAACGGACGCATTTATATTTCCATTGCACGAAAATACCTACGATTTTGCTTGTCGTAGCTTTCGCTGTCTTCTCGACAGTGTCATCGGTTATTAAGTTTCGCCACACATCCGGTGTGATCAAGTGAATGCAATAATATTATAAGCCACAATCAGTTCGACAATGAAACTGTCTGAGAAGACAGCGAGAGAATAAGGAAAAGTAAATGAATTACACCAGTGGTGGATTTAGGGGGAGGGGGGCACTAAATTAAAAAAAATAAAAGAAATAATGGAGAAAAAAAAATTGTATTCAAATTTAAGTCTGCGGGAGTGCCATTTCCAACCATCTAGGGGTGCCATAAATAATAAAATTTCTATCCTCTATTTGTGAAAATCCCTCCCCTCCATTACAAATTATTGGATCCGCCACTGCGTACACTGACTTTAAAAGTTAACTTCTACTTATAAATGAACTGCCTATTCTTTCTTTTGCTGGTAATCTTAGTGATTGACAATCATAAAAGAACTTATAAAGGTCTTTAAATCAACGAGCACATATTAAAATCTGTGTATTGTTAAAATGGAAAGCTGAAATTAATTTTCAGATGAAAGTGTATTTAATGAAACTCCCTTATACACACAAATACTACGGTACTTAAAAAGCTATATAGATGATCCAGTATACAGCAAGTGCGATGTGGACGAATAGTTTCTCAAAATAAATATGTCATGCCAACTCTAACCAGAAGAGGATATCAATACCATCAGTCGCAGAAGAAATATGGAAACTTAATCTGCAAAACGCCCTCCGTCATTAATTCGACCGTTCAGTAAATCTCTCCCCTTCAGTATTACTGTAAAGGTACCACAACCGACAGTGTTTGTTTCACGCGCGTATTCCTGACCCCATCCCTTCCGCCAACTGAATGACACGTTCTGATTGGTCAGAAGTTTGATATGAATAGTACAGAAAGGTCCATTTACTTTACGTTGGCCATTATATATAATAACAAGAAGCCTTGGGCAGCCTAACGAAAACAAATAGGCCTACATTCCATTTCCATTATCCGTGTTCCATTTCAATTTTGTTGCGCAATTTAAGATCAGGCGATCTTTGACTAAGTGAGAGTTCAATTTAGGAGAATAATTTTAATAATTATGAGTGTATTTTACAGTTTCATTACCGACCCATGGACCCAGGATTCGGGGCAGTTCCCCACCCCCAACCATTTTTTGGCATCATCTCCCGGGTTTTCCTACGTTTATGGTCTCGTTTAGTAACACATCAAAGGAGCGAAGCTCAGCGGAATAGTCCATTATATAAAAACACAATATGTTGCTTAATGATACACTCCCACAAAGAAACAGCGGGAAAACAAAAAAAACCCTTTGGATTGCTTATTTAAATTAATTACAAAAGCTTTCACCATTCAATAAGTCACAGCTCGAAATTATTAATGGTTTATAGTAGATTAAATTCTCAAATTTGTTGGCAGACGTTTAAGGGTAGGCCTATGTAGACTCCAGAAATGGTAGTAGGGAGCTTTCAATTTGCGCAACGACACTCATGCGTGACCGACCGTCCTCGTTCTCGGCATGCAGGAAGCTAGCACAACGTAGATTTGGTCAAATTGCGCCCTCCACGCGACGCAGATGAATTATTAGTAACGTCATTACGTTCTAGGATCTACTGCGTCGTGAGATCGAAAGCTCACTATTATCTAAATGTCCGATAATTGGCGAGAAACATTTTTTTTTTCCCGATCTAGTTATTCTATTGAAATCTAAGTTATTGATATATAGGCCCACAAAATTGTTTTACACATTCGGGCAATAAGTTGCTGCCAATATAAATAAAAACAATAATCCATAGAATATAGGCCTACGGTATATATATATATTTCAGATAATATAAAATTTAATTTTTTATAATGCACAAAATATTACAAATAGAAAACATATCTATCTTTATACGTCAAATTCATCATCTCGAATCTTCACCGTCATTCAATTGGACAACTCATACCACACGTCTAGCGTGGTAGTACCTAAAGCTGGCCAATCACGATGCCGTTTGTCCGGAGTTTCAGCCCTCTCAACATAGGCCTACTTCAGTCACGGGTCTCTACAACCAAGTCGTGTTGAAGAAACTTCAACAATTCACCCTTCTTTGAAAACGCAATGCCCAGGGGTGGCGCCAGGATTTTACCAACGGGGGAGGGCAATGTCCCAGACAAGAGCGAAGTGAGCGTGTTTGGGCATCGCTCAAAATGTTTCGAAAGTGGTCCAGAGGGAAAAGCCCCCCCCCCCCAAACCCTGAAAAAATATGACAATTGAGGGGTTTCAAAGTCTTATTAATCGAATTAATAGAGTCCTACTAATAATAGAAAATACATATATTTTTTCTTCACGACGAATTGTGGTTTTTCTCCCCAACGGGCGGAGGGGTAGCTTGACCCCCGGCCCCCAATGGTGCCACCCCTAGCATTGCTGGGACAACATCACGTCCGTTCCAATTTATGAAGTGGACGGCATATAATCTGAGCAGCAGACTACAATCAATGCTAACTATGGTCACAAATTATAATCTATTTTTATACACATGTATCAATCGAATATAAATAAAACTAAATTGAATGCCTCTGAAATTAATTGTTCTGAAAGTTTGCTATATATAAAATTATATTCTACAAGAAATGAATGATTTATTATACATTTTTTATATAGGCCTGTTTTCGGATTTACAAACAGGCCTAAGAAAACTTAAAGTTATTGAATATATTATAAACTCATTCGGAGTCAGAGTCACCGGCTTCCTTACCAGAACAGCATTTCGTTTTCATAATTTAAAATTTTAGACTGATCATTTACGATTACAACTATTAGTGGAGATAAGGAGTAGATGTGTATAAGAGACAGGGTTGTTGTTTAATTTTGCTCATCGTCGTGGCAATAATTCTGCTGATAAAATACGTACTTATTACATAAATGTAATTACTTGAAGGTGATTTTTATAATATAAACTGGCTTTACAGAACCAATTGATGAGACTAGGGAATAGCTTTTGTGTAGTCGCATGTAGTGACGTTGAGACGTTATTCTGATATTCTAGAAGTTTAGTTTCAAAACAACAATGTTTACGTCATTCGACGTAAAAACGATTGGATTATTTTACAACACGTATCTTTTAGGAAGTAGTTGTTAAACGAATCGTTGATTTTGATTGGATGTTATTGTCCTAATCCAGTCCATACAAACAATAACATCCAATTAGGAATAGTGCAACAACTGCCACTACTGTTAGGCCTACCTATTTAAAGGCTGACAACAATAAAATTGACGCAACTCCTGAATTAAATTGGTTTTGTATCGCTAGGCCCGTGCAAATGTTAGGTCTTATTGTACAATGACTTCATTAAAAAATATTTCTGACGAATTGATTAAACTCAGAGTTTGCAAAGGTGATGTTATAATTTATTTATTATTAGAAAACATATCTTGACCACAATGACTGATTTCTGAACCGTGCATTTTTCATGAATTAATAACAAACAATATACAGTGTTTACAATTTGAAGACGTTATAAACTATGCATACACATCGAAATTCTATAATTGTAATGTTTAATTACTGAATCGCATTACCTTCAGCCCTGTTGCTGTCTCTTATACACATCTAGATGTGTATAAGAGACAGTTTCTATAATAGGCCGCCACAACAATTATCGCAGATGAATTATCAGTAAGTCATTACGTTCTAGGATCTACTGCGTCGTGAGATCGAAAGCTCACTATTATCTAAATGTCCGTTAATTGGCGAGAAACATTTTTTTTTCGATCTAGTTATTCTATTGAAATCTAAGTTATTGATATATAGGCCCACAAAATTGTTTTACACATTCGAGCAATAAGTTGCTGCCAATATAAATAAAAACAATAATCCATAGAATATAGGCCTCGGTATATATATATATATATTTCAAATAATATAAAATTTAATTTTTTATAATGCACAAAATATTACAAATAGAAAGCTAAACATATCTATCTTTATACGTCAAAATCATCATCTGGAATCTTCACTGTCATTCAATTGGACAACTCATACCACACGTCTAGCATGGCAGTACCTAAAGCTGGCCAATCACGATGCCGTTTGTCTGGAGTTTCGGTCCTCTCAACATAGGCCTACTTCAGTCACGGGTCTCTACAACCTTGAAGTCGTGTTGAAGAAACTTCAACAATTCACCCTTCTTTGAAAACGGAATGCCCAGGGGTGGCGCCAAGATTCTATCAACGGGGGAGGGCAATGTCCCAGACAAGAGCGAAGTGAGCGTGTTTGGGCATCGCTCAAAATGTTTCGAAAGTGGTCCAGAGGGAAAAGCCCCCCCCCCCCAACTTTCTCCCCAACTTTCTCCCCAACGGGCGGAGGGGCAGCTAGACCCCCGGCCCCAATGGTGCCACCCCTAGCATTGCTGGGACAACATCTCGTCCGTTCCAATTTATGAAGTGGACGGCATATAATCTGAGCAGCAGACTACAATCAATGCTAACTATGGTCACAAATAATAATCTATTTTTATACACATGTATCAATCGAATATAAATAAAACTAAATTGAATGCCTCTGAAATTAATTGTTCTGAAAGTTTGCTATATATAAAATTATATTCTACAAGAAATGAACGATTTATTATACATTTTTTATATAGGCCTATTTTCGGATTTACAAACAGGCCTAATTTGTTAATTGAGTCAGAGTCACCGACTTCCTTACCAGAACAGCGTTTCGTTTTCATAATTTAAAATTTTAGACTGATCATTTACGATTACAACTATTAGTGGAGATAAGGAGTTCAGCTTCGATTTATAGAATGTTTCTAGGCCTATTTCCTCCTCCTCTGGTTTTATATTTTGACATTCACAAGACTACATGCAAAACAATCATGGTAGGACTACAAGCAATACAATCATCACCGTAAGTCCAATGGCGATAAGACAACACGCAGCGATGTAGATTTTCTTCTGTCGAGACAAACGTAAAACAATTACACTTACATAAAACGCTATTGCATTATGATTATAATTAGGCTTACGTATTAAAAAAAATTATTATAAAGAATAAAATACTGTATTGTAAAATGTAAAAATAAGGTCAGAACCACAGTGATGAACCATGAAGTGGCGTTGTAATCATGAGATGCAAAATGAAGTTGAAAAGCAGATCAATTTGAGATTTAATTTTAAAAGAAAATAATGGTTTGATACTAATATTAAGCAGATACTACAATAACAAAGATGTAGCGCAATACGATTTGTTAATGATAGTGTGTATATAAATATTAATGGTATGAATAGAGTATATAAACATTGTAATGAATGATGTCGTTAGGTTCGCAAGATGTTTGACTTTTGAACAGATATTCCGGCACTGCAGATGGAAAAGTAATAAACAGAGCAGTCGTGATAAATATACGTGACGTACGTTACACGAATCATCCGAAAACAATGTGTGTTTATTGTTTGTCAGTACTGTAATACTGAGCACTGATGAAACATAGCTTCATGAATCCTATATCTATTTGTTGAGAAGACAATATTTTCAGTTGTTTTTGTTCAGATCATAGGGGTATTGTAAGGCTACTATAGTGCTACGTTGAGAGGCCTATATCTATTAATTATGTATTTTCAGCACAAAGACGTTTTATACTGACATGCCAGTGTCGATATCAGCTAGAGCCAAGTTAGGCCTACACATAATGTGCAAAATCAACACCTTTACCGCACATTCTTTTTCAAATAAAATATTTCGCATCAAAAAGTTTCATTTTGGAATCGTATACATTAAAAAATGCGCGCTATACTTTTTCCGATAAAAACTTGCTGTCACAAATTTGACCAGAATTTTTAATGGTGTAAATTGATATTTTCGACAGGTTAGCACTCTTGTAAGGTAGTAACCTTATATTTCTGATCATCTTCATCAATTGAGTGATAAATAACAATAATTGAATGAAATTTATGACAATGATATCAAACAGACGCATAGCCTTGTTTTATAGAAGAAATATTTAATATTTATATACATATCTGAGAAGAAGACCTATAAAATAGCAAACAAAATTAATTGTACATAATCAGAAACTGACATGAAATTTACAACCAAATTGGAAAACATTAAGATAATGATTGACCATAAAATAGGTCCATATTGGATGGAGGTGTAAACTAGCTTATTTTATACCTCCATGATTACAGAGTGGAGAAATATATAATACACAACAATGCAATCAGTCTTGCTTTCATGTGACCAGACACGACAAAATAAGTTTTGTTGCACCAGAGACCGAACATGCGCAAGTCATACTGATATCCC